GATGGGCAATTTCAATCCGCATGTTAGAGCAGACACTGAAAAGTGGAAAGGTATGACTGGAACTTCTAAAAATTGCTTTCTAAATAAATGAAAATATTTCTGAACACATCATTCCTTTGAAGAAGGCCCGTGTAATATGGGTCAAAACGTCGGTATCAATCAGTCTTCTGCTGGGTATAAAATAAACCATTTTGTGCTATTTTCAGTGTATTAAAGGTAATTAATAGCCATAACCTGTTCACAAAATCATCAATACATGACTCAAGTGCTGACAGCAGGAAGAAAGGATTTTGAACTTCCATGGAAACAATAAGGATGCTGACCCATGATTCTTTCGCCCGGACATTCAATCAGAGGATCTCCGTTTCATACAGAACTATTTTAAAGGAACAGTACATCCACTTTGCTGGTTATCATTACCCTATTAGCTAACCGTATTGGTGTTCTGATAAGTTCATGGCTAGGGGAAGATAAATTATGTATTTTGTCAATGTATTTTGTCCTGGTCTGCGATCATTTAGTATATTGGCAACCCGCATTCTAGAACGTCGCGAAGTTGGAATTTCTGTTCAGTACTATCATTTTCATGAGCCTTTTACATTCTATGAAAATTGTCTTGAATATTTCCCCAGAAAGCGCCGTTCTGCATCCATGATGTTTAGGTAAAAATGTTTTCAGGATAAACATGGCAGCTGAAAATGGAGAAAATGTAAAATACGCGTAATTCACTGCATCACTAAACTTGAAGCTACGTGAACATTATAAGGATTATACCCAACTTGTCGGTAGAAAGTTCACAAAAGTTATTTCTGCAGTTAAGAAGAGCATACCTTCGACTGCTTCACGCATTAATTTGTTGACAGCTCTTCGCAGCAGCTGATCGATCATATACCACCGACTCTCCAGACTTCGTTTATTCGGACTTCGCTAAACGTTATAGCAGAATTCTAACTATTAATCCAAATCTTGGAAAGAGAATATTTTACCGTTACAGCAATATTCAAAAAAGAGGCGCAATGGCCCATTGATGAAACGCTAACTCTTGGGGAACTACAACGCCACGACGTGTTTCTGCCAGAGTAGGAGACTTAGCATCATATTAGCTTAGATACGAGGCTTCATCGATTGTGCATTACCGTGACCAGTATGATAGCTGACAAAGGATTAACTTACAGAGCCGGTAAATATCCAAATAGGCGAGCCAATGCTGGCCGATAAAATACTGACAACGAGTTACGGAACGGGTGGTGCTGAGAGAAACGTGTTTAAGTACAATATAGCTACTTTGTGATCATTACTCCAGGACGATTCGCAGAAGTACGAAACTTTGATTCAAAAGTACATTCAACTGAGAACCGCCACTGTTTCACATCAATCACATAGTTGAAACGAAATTACAGCAGGCAGATTTACTCCCAAAACCGCCAATCACAAATAAAACTTCATAAACTATCAAACGCGATCTCACAAACAAACTAAACTGACCAGCATGCAAGAAAGCAGAAGAAAATGTAGGTATAATCATTATTGGTTAGAGTGTTATCCACTCTTGCGTGGCGGAGTGAAATCCATGTCAAATCATTAAGAGGATTCATAAGAAGCAATGCCACAGGCAGGATACAACTGCATTTCGACCAACAAAAATGTAAATATAGTCTTGATTTCTTTCGACAACGAAGCTTCAGAGCTCTGGACTTCTGAACCTCTGCAGATTGAAGCTATTTTGTTAACGTGTCGACATTACGACGTGTGCTCAGGCCGGTGTTGATGTTTTGCTAGAACTTAACCTGGCACAT